GACACGTCTACACTTCTCTTTAGTAATTTCTCTTAATATAAGATAAAATAGTTAAAACATATTTAGTATATCTGATCACAAATGATTCACACGGATATATTGGATGATTGCATAAGTTCGTGCCCGATTTTCATAGATGGCATTAAGTTACTGCATGGCGGAGTTCTATTGTTTTCGTGTGGTAATTGTTGCTTACACCGAATAGATGACGTTGTCTTATGTCAATTTAGCGTCAGACATTGTTCAGATAAGTCCATTTGTGCATAAGAGAAATCATTAAAAATGGAGAACGAAAAGGTGCATTTGCGGCATGTAATGTTATATGAATTTCGGAAAGGCGTGAGTGTTGGGATTGCACAAAAAAATATTCAAACCGTTTATTTGGACCGCGCTCCTGCTCTCCGAACAGTCAAAAAGTGGTTTGGCAGATTTCGAAATGGTGATTTCAACATGGAGGATCAACCCCGCTCTGGACGGCCTTCTGGCATTGATGATGACATTGTGCATGCCTTAGTGGAAAGAAACCCAAGGATTACAACTGAGGATATTGCTGAGAGGCTGAACATCGATAATTCAACCGCTTTTCGTCATTTAAAAAAGCTTGGATACGTTTCCAAGCTTGATACATGGGTGCCGCATCTCCTGACTGAAAGGAATAAGCTAAACCGTATGACTGTGGCTCTTTCTCTTCTCGAGTGTAACAAAAAAGAGCCTTTTTTAGATCGAATGGTAACAGGCGATGAAAAGTGGATTCTCTACAAAAACGTACAGCGAAAGAGGACATGGAAAACAGCAGCTGAAGGAGCAGAACCCGTAGCAAAGGCTGGCTTGCATCCGATGAAGGTGTTGCTGTGTGTTTGGTGGGATCGCAAGGGAATTATTTACTTTGAGCTGCTCCGACGCGGCGAAACAATCACGGCGGACAAGTACTGTGAGCAACTAACTAGACTCGCTGCAGCTATTCGAGAAAAACGTCCGATTTTGGCCAATCGAAAAGGCGTCATCTTCCACCACGACAATGCTAGGCTACACGTCGCTCAACAGACGCTGCGAAAATTGCAGGAGTTGCAATGGGAAATTCTGCAGCACCTGCCATATTCTCCAGATATTGCGCCTTCAGATTTTTATCTGTTCCGGTCTTTGCAGAATAGTTTAAATGGCAAGAATCTCAATTCCGAGGAAGTTGTCGAAAACCACCTTACAAACTTTTTTCAAGAAAAACCAAGTTCTTTCTTCAAAAATGGAATCGACAAGCTTGTAGATCGTTGGAAAACCATTGTAGAAAAGAATGGAGACTATATAATTGATTAATAAAAGTGTTATCTCTAAAATATAATCTATTGAAGTTTATATTTAAATCGGGCACGAACTTATGCAATCACCTGATATTTAGCGTATCTAATTATAAATTCATTCTACAATTAACGACAGTATAAAAACAGAAAACAAAGTAATCAAAGAAAAATAAAAAAAATTTTATCAGATGCCTTTGAAATGGATCAGATTATATTATCATACATAATAGTATGATAAAAATACAATAAAAAATAATATAACAA